GGTATGAATCCTTGTCCTTGGTGTTATAACACCGTGCTCTAACCAACTAGGCTAACTGGGCCACCCTGACATATGTTTTGGATGGGGCTTCCCGTTCTCACCAAAGTCAACACACATTTCATCAGCATTTCTCTGCTTTGAGATTTTGGCATGGAACTGAGGTTGAGGAGATGTCTTCTGAGAACAGTGTTTCTTTAGAAATGTCACAGGCTGGGACTTGTAAGTCAGATCCATCTACTCAAAAGACTCACCCCTGTGAGACTTGTGTCCAAATACTGGAGGATGTGTTTGACCTGCCTGAGGACCAAGCAGGATACATTGGGCAAAAACTATACTCGGGTGGCATATGTGTGAGTGGATTCTGTTTCAGTACAAACATTCACCAGCACCAGAAGTGTTACAGTGGAGAGAAACCCATGGAGCAGGATATGAACAGGGCCACGTGTGTGATGAGCTGCAGATTCCATTGTCAGGGAAACCCTTCAACTGTGGAAATTTGGGGGAGGACTTTCCAGATATCTCACGCCTTCACCAACATCAGGCTTCTCCCAACTGTAGGAATCCAAACAGTGGCATCAAGTGTGCGGAAGGCTTTCACAGTGGAGAAAGTCATTACGAGTGGAGTGAATTGGGAAAATCTTCCAGCCACAAATGCACACTTGTTCACCACCCCAGAATCCTCACTGGAACAGGGCTTTATGAGTGCAGCAGGTGCATGAAAGCCTTTAGCCCCAAATACAGACTTGTTGAACACCAGCGAATCCATACTGCAGAAAGGCGGTGTGAATGTGGCAAATGTGGGAAGTCTTTTAACCAGAATTATGCCCTAACTCAACACCAGACAGTTCACACTGGAGAAAAGCCATATGACTGCACTGAGTGTGGAAACTTTTTGCTTAACCTCTCACCTCAATAATCATCACAAAGTTCTCATGGTAGAAAGACCTTATAAGTGTGGGGAATGTAGGAATTCCTTCACCCAAAATTATGCTCTCACTNAGAAAGACCTTATAAGTGTGGGGAATGTAGGAATTCCTTCACCCAAAATTATGCTCTCACTTGATACCAGAGAGTTCACACTGTAGTAAGCCCTTATAAGTGTGATGAATGTGGTAATTTATTTAACAAGAAGTCCTAACTTATTAAACATTGGAGATTTCACACTGGAGAAAGGCCTTATAAGTGCAGTGAATGTGCACAATCCTTTAGACAGAGCTCCATTCTCATTCAACACAGGAGTGTTCCTACTAGATAAAGGCCAGGTGAATCAATGAATATGGGGAATTTTTAAGCCAAAGATGCAGTCTTGTAAAGTTCCTACTAAATAAAGGCCAGGTGAATCAATGAATATGGGGAATTTTTAAGCCAAAGATGCAGTCTTGTAACACATCAGACAATTCACACTGGAGTGGGCCTTATGAGTGTGGTGAATGTGGCCAATGTGCCAAACCGTGTAGGCCAAGAAAGAACAGAGTGTGCAATTTTCTTGCTTAGTAAAATTACAATGACAAGAACTTTGTGAGGGAGCCATCTCCCTGAATCGAACTTCATTTATTTGAACATCTCCAGTGGGGTGATTTCTCGTAAGTTCCAGCTACTTAGGAAACTAAGGAGCTGTATTGTACTCTCTACACTGATCAGGATTTACTAGAATGTTGTCACTTGTAGTTCCTGTAACAGAAGACATTTCACCTCTACCACCTGGCAGGTTCTTGCAGTGTGCGTCAGTGACCACCCCAGCATGCTCAGGGAAGCAGACTTCTGTGCTCTCTCATTTGCTGATGGGAATTGTGAATAATTGGAACCCCCAGGAGATCTTCATTCCTTTCCATCTGAGTAGAGAATAGACATAACCCAGTTTTCACCCCGAGTACCTCCTGATCTGAGTTCTGGTGGTGTCCTGCAGAGAAAGATTACATTTCCTAGGGATCTTGTTAATCTCATGTGATGATTCTTGTGATGAATTTTTTTGCTTCTAAGTCACCAACCCAGGAATTGCTTGCCAAACGTTGCTCTGGGGTATGCAATAATAAATGCCTTTTTATTTAATTCTCTTTGATCTTGGGTGTTCTCTTTATGCTGTGAGGTGCTCCAAAAGCATAACTGGGTTCTGGCAGCATGAAGGGGTGATAAAAGTTTTTTCTGTTCCAAACTTTGTGTGCGCCAGAGGGGACAGCATAATAGCAACAAACAAACAAACAAAATCTCTTTAGTTTTAGCATTAATTTGCATTATGACTCAAGGCCTATTTTATGGGCCGAGTTGTGTTTTTGCAAAAAATATTATGTTGAAGTCCTAAATCCCAGTATTTCAGAATATGAATATATTTAGTGATAGGGTATTTAAAGGGGTAAATAAGTTAAAATGAGGTCATAAGGGTGGATCATGATACCATATGACTGGCGTTACAAGAAGAAAGGACACACACACATATAGGGGACACCATGTGGAGGTGCAAGGAGAAGATGGCCATCTTCAGTCCAAGAATACAGGCCTCAGTTCCAGTGCATTCAAATGAAGATATATCAAAATATTTGGGGAGGGACATGGGCAAGTATCTCTGTCATTTCCATTATATTTAACAAATAATTTCGTTTTTAAAAATAGAGTCAGTTAAGGTAAATCTTTGATTAAATTTTGGAGGAAGAAAAAAATGACTCCTAATGAATCAAAAACTTACTACAGGGATTCTCATCCTCATACCAGCCAACCACCAAAACAAGCAAACAAACACACAAACAAACAGAAAACTTAACTGTGGGTAAAGAAGATCTGGTGTATGTTATAACACATCCTAATAGCATGGATCATTTGGCTTTTTATGATAATAAATCAGATTGGTTTGAAGATGGTCTGGAGAATTCAGCAATAAGGGCAAGTAAATAGAGTTAATAAATATGTACTTCCCAGTACACTTAAAAATGAATTAAAATATTTCTGGGATAATCTACCAATTGATAATGTGTTCTTAGTGTCAGTTGTACAGCAAGTGATTCAGAGGATAAAATATGCAATATGTATGTGGATTGTGTCAAAATTTTATCAGTAAATATAATAATTTATATAGCATTCAATACAGTTAGCCAAAAAAAGGAAGTTAGTAAAGAATCAAAAAATTCTGGATGAAGCACAAGAATTGTGGGGAAAAAATTAAAGCATATTGTATAAAAATATTGAAATAATTTTAAGTCATTGACAAGTTTGCCAATTGACTTGGTAAGAGAATTAACAAAAGCTGCATTAGCAAAGTAACAGGAAGAGCCTGCAAATCCTAAAATTGCTGAACATTTTCCCATTTATCAACTGTAGCCTTTCAAGTACAAATTAAGAGTTAAATATTCCCTGGTGGGTGACAGATGATCACAATTAAGTTAATTAAGAAAATTTTGCTCTGCACAAAAGGGATAGGCATATACATCAATGTGTGTGTCATAATACGGTTTGATAGCACAAGATATATAATTTCTAGAGGTGGACTGGCCGGTTGCTGAATTGGTTACAGTGTGGGGCTGATAACACTAAGGTCCAGAGTTCTGTCCATGTACTTGCTAGCCACGCTGCTCCCAACCCCCCCAAAAAAAAAATCTCTAAATTTCTAAATGGCACTGGAAACCTACATTGATTCATATCTGAGAAATCAAAAACAAAATATTAATACTAATTGAAGAACTGTGTGGAAAACATACTGTCATGTGGAATAACATTTGGGGTTTGAGATTCTTTACATCCATGATTATCTTGCTATTTATAACTTACCATCTTTTACTCATGCTGTACTTAAATGAGTCTTTCACTAAATGGGACAGGAAGTTTTATCTCTGGCACCAATTATACATGTTAGTAAACTACTCAAAGTTTCCATTTTCTAATTATGTCCCCTAAGCCAAAAGTGCTTTTCTACTAATTGCTACACAAACAATGAATGTCCATTAGATCCTCATACCAGCCAGCTGCCAAAAAAA